CCAGTCACTATGACGCACACTGACCACCAGGGGGCAAATGCTCAACACAGGACTGCCCCCAGCCTTCAGACCCCGCACCCGATGGGAGCCAGCAGGCCAACCTCTCAGTCCCTCCCCTTGGCTGGCAGGCTCCGATCGTCTGATGGGGAATGGGGAACCAGGGGTGGGTGGCGGTGGATGTGGGCAGCGCCAGGCCAAGGCGGGTGCAGGTGAGTGGGGCCCTGATCGTCCCACACACAGAGGGCAACTGGCATCAGCGGCAGGAGGCGGGGCCAGCTGCCAGCAGCTAGGGAAGCTGGGCCCTGATTGCAGGCCAGGCCTAAGGACCCTACCCATGCACAAATTTCATGCGCCAGGCCTCTAGTGTGTGTGTGTGTGTGTGTGTGTGTGTGTGTGTGTGTATGTAAAAGGCTGATATGCAAAGTGTCCCCTCGGGAGTTTGACTGGGAGACCGGGAGTTCAATCACTCGCTATGATGTGTGCTGACCACCAGGGGGTGGCACGGGGGACAAAGGAAGGCCCCTGGCCAGCAGCCGGAAGGCCCTGATTGGCTCTGATTGCCAGCCAGGCCTAGGGACCCTATCCATGCATGAATTTCATGAACCGGGCATCTAGTAGTGTTATAAAACAACATAACACAAATTATTTGCATTTAGGTTCAAGTGGAATCAGTCCTAAGGTTTACTTTTGAATTCTTAGGATTCACATTCATGGTTTGTTGTTTACATCTTCCTCATTCATGTTTAAAACTTCTAACTCCATATTTTTACTAGGAGTAGCAAGTATATCTAAAGTAAGAAGTTACATTTAAATGAGATATATTTTTTTTCATCTAATGACACAAATTAAATGAATGTGCTTTGCAAAAATCTTTAAAGATCTAAGACATGTTTTCTCATCCCAAGGGAATTATGTTGACTAAGCAAACCAATAGTTATTTCATATGCATAATAGGTATTGGCTTCTTCTTAATTGCTTTTTGACTTACTGAATTGTAGAGTTGGAAGGAACCATAGGACAGTGCTTTCTCAAACTTTAATATGCATGTGAATAGTATGGAGATATTGTTAGACTGCAAAGGAGGGGCCCAGATTCTGTATTTCTAACAGTTCCCAAGTGATTATTGATGCTACTTCTGGTCTACTCCCTTCCAGTACTAAGGTTTTAAAGGGCCAAGAGATGGGAGTAATAATGCCTATCTTTTAGAATTCTTTTTAAGAATTAGAGGCAATATATATTAAACATCTCAAATCTGGTACTTTGTAGTTACCCAATAAATAGGTGGCTATATTAGGATTAGTAAACCCTTCCTCTACAGAGGAAGAAAAGAGTTCAGAGAGCTAGTCACTGCATGCATCATTGCATCCTCTTTTCCTCTGCTTTGAAATTTTTATTTTAAAAAATATATTTTTATTTCAGAGAGGAAGGAAGAGGGAGAGAGAGATAGAAACATGAATGCTGAGAGCAAATAATTGATCTGCCTCCTGCATGCCCCCCTACTGGGGATGGAGCCCGCAACCCGGGCATGCATCCTCACTAGGAATCAAACCCAGGACCTCTTGGTCCAAGGGTCAATGCTCAATCCACTGAGATACACCACCTGGGCGAGACACATTTATTTTTAAGGAAAGAGCACTGTTAAAATAACAGTCTTCGTCTAACCCTCAGAAACATTATAAGTAATATTGTCAGAATGATCTATAGCAAACATGCCAAACTCAAAAGCTAACACAGGCCAAATAAATGAGGCATGCGGCCCGTGGGTTGTGAGTTTGACATGCTTGACCTAGAGTATGTAGCATGAAGATGTAGTTTGGGCAAAAACTGGTAAGAATTCAGTCATAGTTTACCATCTCTAATTATTATGGCAATTATGGTATTAAGTAGTTGGAAAACTTTAACTTATATCTAAATGAGTCAAATGACTTAGTATAGTTTATTCTCTTCTCAAGCCCTGTTACTATTCAAAATATAATGCACATGTGTACACACAGAAGGGAATCCCGGTGCTGTCTTGCTTGCCCCTAGGAAGCTAAGGGAAAATTATATAAATGTCTGTGTGTTTTTTTTGCTTTTATGTTCTCTGCTTAGATACAGGGACTCCAGTTTTTCTTACTTTAAGATTTTGAATCCTAGTATTAAGGTAAAATACAATTTCATTTATCATGAATTATAGAAAATATGTCTTAACAGAAGTTGGGAGTGGTAATAGATTTTGAGATGATTTTTTTTCTGATTTTTTCTGTTTCCTAAAATGTTTTTAAAAGATTTGTTTTGTAGAAGCTATTGAATTAAGACTTAGCAGTAATTTCTATGAAATTTAATGCTTTTAAAATTTTTTCCTTCATATAGGTGGTTTTGATGATAATTCTCCTCTGAGTTCGGTTGAGCGGTATGACCCTCGAAGCAACAAGTGGGATTATGTAGCAGCACTTACCACTCCCAGGGGTGGAGTGGGGATCGCAACAGTGATGGGCAAAATCTTTGCAGTTGGTGGTCATAATGGCAATGCATACTTAAATACAGTGGAAGCATTTGATCCAGTGCTGAATAGGTAACTTTGTTTTCTCTACACTTCAATGGGATCTTCCAGTAACTGATTACTTCATGGTGCTAAAATGCTGCCACATGGGGTTAATATAAAGCATTTGGGATATCTTGTCTCCCTTAGGAAGCTTGGTGTCTTTCAAAACCAGTCCCATGATAGGCAGTTTTGAATAAAGTAAATCATGCTTTCTTTTAAGATAACATTCTTTCGCCCTAGCCAGTTTGGCTCAGTGGATAGAGCATTGACCTGCGGACTGAAGGATCCCGGGTTCAGTTCTGGTCAAGGGCACATGCCTGGGTTGTGGGCTTGATCCCAAGTGGGGGGTGCGCAGGAGGCAGCCAATCAATGATTCTCTGTCATCATTGATGTTTCTATCTCTCCTTCTTTCTTCCTCTCTAAAATCAATAAAAATGTATTTTTTTAAAAAAAATAACATTCTTTCTCTTCTCTCATTTCAGGTGGGAGCTTGTTGGATCTGTGTCTCATTGCAGAGCTGGAGCAGGTGTAGCTGTGTGTGCCTGTTTAACTAGCCAAATTCGAGATGTAGGTCATGGATCCAATAATGTGGTTGACTGCATGTGATTTGAGTTCCAGTCATCAACAATTTCATCATATCTGATAGTCAGGAAAAATGACCAGGATTTTGTATGACCCTCTTTGAACAGTTTTAACTACTGCTAGAGTCTTAATGAAATGTAAACTGTTGTATTGTGACGAAGTGCAACTTTTGGGATAGTAGCTAAAGAATTATTAGTAATAACGTTAAATTTGATACTTCCCACTTAGAGATGGTAAACTATGACTGAATTCTTACCAGTTTTTGAGCAGGGAAGAAAGACATTCTAACCTGAAACCATACCTTCCCTGAAAAATGTTTAAAGTAGTGCCAAATGTTGAAATCCCTATTTAAAAAAGTGTGGACAAATCAAAATGTAAGTCATTTGCTGAGTTTTTTTTTTTGGCCTAAAGGTATTAACCTTAGGCAGTGGGCTTTTCCTAGAGGGGAGATTAGACTCTGTTCATCAACACCAGGACATCAGGACACGGAAGAGACCTTTTTTTTTTTTTTTAAATTCTTTATTAGTTAAGGTATTACAAATGTTTCCTTACCCCCCCCATTAACCCCCCCCCCACACACACACACACACACTCATGTTCTCATCCCCCTGTTGTCCATGTCCATTGGTTTGGCTTATATGCATGCATACAAGTCCTGGAAGAGACCTTTTGAAGAGCAGTTCTACTCGGTGCTGATGAATTTATGCCTTGCTTTTTTCTGGGTGTTGATTTCTCAATTTTTTTGAATATTTACAGAAGTAGAAACAAATGTTTGATCTCTGCATGCCACTTGGCTCAAAGCTTATAGGAGTATTGTAAGATCTTAATTTCAGTTTGAATTGTTAGGACACCAAAGACCTAGTGAACTGATTCCATCTGAATGAATGTATACTTTTATTTTTTCATCTCATACAAAAAAAGAAATTTCTTCATAATAAGCAAAAATTGAACCAGAGTAAATACTAGAGGAAGGCTTTCGAGTTGATGTTATTCTAGTGCCCAGTCAATAGACCTTAAGAAAGAATGGCACCGCTATGTGACTCCCCAATGAGGGAGCCTGAGAATATGTTCAACACTCTTTTTTGATTTAATCATTTGATTTTGAACTTTCTATTTTGCTATTTGCCACCATCCTGGTGTTTGTAACTGTACAGAATCTGGATTAATTTATTATCAGAAAATGAATGCATTTTTATATATATCCTATATAGACAGTAGTTAACTGATTAGTTCAAGTCCATCATTACCAATAAAAGATATTGTTGGTTAAAAACAGAGAAAGATTGAAACTACATTTTTTTTCTGTTTTATTTAATTTCCTTCGGTATATTTATTTAACTTTAATTGGAAATATTTCTGTACATTAATTTGAGCCAGGATATTCTTACACCTACTAATTTAACAGGTCTTCATGGTTTAAACCAGAATTGTAAAATGGCCTATTCATTATATGTATATATTTTTATAAATATATATGAGGAATATTTTTTATTTGAATGCAGTTTGGTACTTTTCTTCTAGGATCTCCTAAAGTCATGCCTTAGAATTCAGTATAATTCACTGCTGATCAGTCATCTGGTTCACAAGGAAGCAGGGCAGTAAGAACCCTAACCCCATCTAGCCAGCCCTGAAGTTCATTGCCTAGTAGCTCTGTCGGTCCTCATTAAAAGGCAACCTGGCCCTAGCTGGTTAGAGTGTCCGCCTGCAGACCAAAGGGTCACGGGTTCAATTCCTGGTCAAGGGCACATATCTGGGTTATGGGTTTGCTCCCAGCCCTGGTTGATGTGTCTCTCTCACTTTGATGCTTCTCTCTCTCTCTACCCTCCCCCCTCCCCCATCCTTTTTACTCTCTCTGAAAAATCAATGGAAAAATGTCTTCGGGTGAAGATTTTAAAAAAATGGCAACCTGGGCTTGTCAGTGCAGTAGATCAAAAAGCCACATAACAAAGCCATTGCCTATTGGGTATAATGAACGCGCCCCCCACCCCCCCCAAAAAAAGAAAAAATTGTAAGAGGACACAGGCTAGCAGAAGAAGTCTTTCATGAAGCAGATTTAAAAGTTCCCAAATTATTCTGTTTTTTCCTATCAGTCTATGGGCAAGTTCACATGTCATTGCTGGATCTGAACCAGTGTTCTCTTATACAACTACTAGAGGCCCGGTGCACGAATTCGTGCACGGGTGGGGTTCCTCAGCCAGGCGGCTGTCGATCAGGGCCATCTTGCCCAGTCAGGATCGCCAGGTGGCCAGGGAGAGGGACCGTGGGAGGTTGGCCGGCCTGGGCCATAGGAGGTTGGCTGTGGGAGCACACTGACCACCAGGGAGCAGCTCCTGCATTGAGCTTCTGCCCCCTGATGTTCAGTGCATATCATAGTGACCAGTCAAAACGGTCACTTAAGCTTTTATATATAGAGAGAACCATATTTCATTCAGTCCCCCAAATGTTGAACTCTACAGCACTTACTATCTCAAAACCTGACTTCCACGGCATTTCTCATATAATGGTGTTCTTGTAGTTCTTGTAGTTGGTTTTGTGGATTGTCTAGCTATGGTTACTGGTATGTTGGTTTTGTTTCTTTTGTGGTGAAGGGGATTTGATCTTATTCCTAAGATTATTTCAAATGTTTTTTTCTCGAACAATTCTACCTTTGTCATATGTTTAGAGAATAAGGAACACAAAGATGTTACATTTCCAATTCTGTTTTTTATTTAACAGTAGTCACCTAACATACTAAGTTGGTACCCCAGCTAGCCATAAAATATGAACTATTCATGAGAGAAGTCAGGTGAAGTGCGGGGGACATGTGGCTGTCTGTTCCATTGTGTGTGGCAGTCAGCATAGCCTTGAAGGACCTGACCATTGTACGAAAAAATAAATAGTGGAATCAACATACACAGTCTCTTTAATTAAACACAAATCTTTGAGATATGAAGTGAGGATCAGGCTGAAGGAATCATGGAGTTGAAAGATGATTATATTCATAGGTATAAAGAGATGAAATATTCAAAGGTGACTCCTTAATTATGAGGCCTGTTACTTTAACCTCAGATGTTAATAGCGCCTACCAAAAAGTGATATAAAATAGAGCTAAATTTTGAAATTGTAAATGGAAAACAGTGAAAATTTGCATATTATTTCTTCAAGATATGTTTCTAGTCATTAAAACCACTGCTTTACTATATTGCACTGCCACTTTAAGAACAAATTACTTGATATTGTTTTTGACTAAATTCACTCTATTCTGTGTAACTATTTTTTAAATGTTTGAATAAATTTTGTATTCCCTCTAAGGAGTATTATTCATTGTTTTAGTTCCCAAATGTATTTTGAACTTAAAATGCTGTTAAATGCTTAGTAAATAGAGGTTGAAGCTGCATAAACTACTCTTACAAATGGTAAATGTGAAAATTTTTTTTTGTTCTTTTGTTTGCTATTTGTTATATGGTAGAGACTGCATTTAGAATCTAATTCATGTATTATCAGTTAAGAATGTTTTCTGTGATTTCTCATCAGACTTTTAAATAATTATTATTGGGATGTCACTGGCTCTGTCTCTTTTTCCCCCCTTTATGTGGAGTTGTAAGTGGCAATAAAACTTATAAGCTCTGGCCAGTGTGGCTCAGTGTTAAGAGCGCCGGTCCATGTACAAAAGGGTCTTGGGTTCGATTTCCAGTCAAGGGCCCATACTTGGGTTTCAGGTTCAATCCTCGGCCCCAGTCATGGTGAATGCAAGAGACAACCAATCGATATGTCTCTCACATCGATATCTATCTCTCTCTGTCTCTTTATCTCTCCCCCACCCTCACTCCCTTCCATTCTCTCTAAAAATCAATAGAAAAAAATATCCTTGGGTGAGGATTAACAGAAAAAAACCTTCAATTTAGTATTTTCTTAAAACCATATAAAAATTTGTGCGGCAATACTCCAGAGCAAATAAAAATAATAAATTATATACACTATAAAGTAGTGAGATAAAATAGTTGGAGTCATATCAGTGTTATTTATGGATTAAATATATTGCATGTATCTATTATGAATATAACTTTCTATAAGGTCGATATAACTTTGCTTCTCATTGTTTGATTCCTTTTATAGAATCTCATAAAAAACTAGAGGCCCAGTACACAAAATTTGTGCACTGGGGGGTGGAGGTCCCTCAGCCCAGCCTGCACCCCCTTGGGGGATGTCCGCCTGCCAGCTTAGGTCTAATCCCCCTCAGGCCTAGGCCGGCAGTCAGACATCCCTCTTGCAGTCCAGGGCTCTCGCAGTCCAGGACCCACCCGCTCCTTACCACCTGCCTGCAGCGGAGGTGGGAGAGGCTCCCGCCACCGCCCCTGCGCTGGCCAGCTGTGAGCCTGGCTTCTGGTTAAGCAGTGCTCCCCCTGTGGGAGCGCACTGACCACCAGGGGGTAGCTCCCATGTTGACTGTCTGCCCCCTGGTGGTTAGTGTGTGTCATAGTGATTGGTCGTTCCGCTGTCCGGTCAATTTGCATATTAGGGTTTTACTACATAGGATGGTGTAATTATTCTCCATCTCTCAAATACAAATCAATTTAGTAGGTTGGCTGTAATATTTTTCTCATAAAAGGACCTCTCTGTTTAACTGAAAATAGGAAGATTTTTGTTACCCTTACAAAAGTTTAAGGTAACTGATGTAAGTGGTTTCACTAACCCTAGTGACTGATTAAGCAATTCTCTCCACAGTTGCAGACTTGTACTATATAGAAATGAGATTCTTTATGTATTAAGATAACGTTGCCCTTCTGACTAGTAACCTTGTGAAGCTATAATTTTGTTGCTTTGTTTTGTTTTGTTTTTTAGCTATGTGCCGTTGCTAAAAACTTTTCTGAAACTCCTCTTTGAAAAAATAGCCTGAAGAGTCCATTCGTAAGTCATCTAAGAGAACTGGTCTCATGATAGTCCTATGTTAATTTTGAGCAGGGTTTTAACTTGATTATTGCGATGTGTACTTTATTTATCAGACTTGGTTCAAAATATTTTATGCTTATCACAGGTGAAATCTATCCTCAAAGAATGTTTTCCTCCCCTGGGAAAAATTATTTTTTTAAACAGTTTTAGTGGAAGATTACTAAAATTACCCTGAGCAATAGAAACTTCAAAGAAGGAAGTATATAGCTTCTTTGAGGGGAAACCTTATTTGAATGTAAAAATTCTGGTGGTTTTTGTTGAGTGTCTTAGTGATTTTTTAACAAATCACTATACCATTATCTTAATGGTTGAGCCTAAATTCACTCTACCTGAACAAATTCTTTAGAATATAAGGGATTACTAAAAATAAAAGAAGAAGAATATAAGGGATTTCTTACACTTAAATAATAGTCATGGGAAGTATTAATAAGTATAATTTTTAAGTGTGTAGTCTGTACCAGTCTCTTTATAATAACGTTTTAAATATTATAACGTTACTTAATCTCACAATAATTCTGCATTTTACAGTTAAAAAATAGATTCAAAGATGTTGAGTAGTTAAAAATCCACAACTAATCAGTGGTTGACTAATCAATTTATGGCTGAAAATATGTTTTTAGTGATTTTTAGAGAGAGGGATA